GAGCAGGCCCTCCTCTCAGCCCCATTGGCCAGCCCAGGCCCAGTGTATGGGGACCTGAGACAGATCCTTCTCAGGGGGCAGCTCCCAGGGTATGGGGGGGCTCTCTCCCGGGAGGGGGGGAGATCAGGAGGGCCCCCCTCCCATGTCTCCTTCCGCTGACCCCTGGAGACCCACCTCTCCAGGCAGGCTTTTAACAAGCAGGATGGACTTGCTGAATGCTGTTTTTTTAAAGTTAAGACAGATGTTAACGTTTTACCTGATTTTATTATTCAGTGTTTTAAAATCAGTTTTACAGTTTTTATTTTTTTAAAATGTAGAAAGAAAGCAAGGAGCAGATGATGAGTAGAAGGAAGGAAGGAGCTGGTGGTGGAAGGAAGGAAGGAAGCAAATAAGGAGGGAAAGAAGGAAGGAGAGAAGGAGATGATATTGTAAAGAAGGAAGAAAGCAAGCAAGGAAGGGAGGAGGGAAACAAGGAAAGAAGGAAGGAAAGTGCTGTTTCCTTAGGATACAACACTTCTCAGAGCTGGCTTTAAGACTGAAGAAGAATGAGCGCAAGCATGATCTTTGACTCCCTCTTGTGGCCAGTTCTGGAAATGACATTGTCATAGTCTCTGGCTTCCTGTTGTGGCCCATTCTGGTAAGTTCATCTTTAAAAATATATAATCTAAAGATGAACTTTAGGATTTTCTTTTAATATTTTGAGACCATGGATAAGTGAATCAGCGGATACTGATTCCGTGGATCAGGGAGTCCTAGTGTATGATTTTTACTTAAGAAGGAAGAATAAGGCAGGCAAAAAAAAGCAAAGCCAGGTTCGCCTTCCTAATTAATCAACCCTTTTAAATTTAGTCGAACTGGTCCGACAAGGGGTTCGCTTCACTCCCCTGTACCTTGAATGGCCATCTCCTGACGGCACCACTGAATGAAGTTGGAGACGTTATCTCGGGCTTGGAAGGTCCCCGGCTGAGCAAAGTCGTTGCAGGTCACTCCGTGCGTGGGGAGTTGGATTGCGTGGGATAACCCGGGGTACTCCTGGCTGAGGTCTCGCGCCAGCTGGGTGATGGTGTTGGCATGGTGGCAAAGCAAGACTCCGGTCTCCAGGACATCCAGGAAGGACTCCACCTGGATGTTCAGATGGTAGAGGCCCTTCAACCACTCTGCCAAGTCCTCCTTCATGGCGTAGAGGTACTGCTCGCTGGTCCTGTACGGGC